TTTACCATTTAGTCACTGAGATCTCAGTGCCCCAAACACTAAAGGCATCATTATTCCAGCAGGTTTTTTCAAAGTAATCTCTCCACCCAATGTGGGGCTTGAACTCACAACCCCAATACTGAGTCGGATGTTCCTCCGACTGAGCCTGCCAGGGGCCCCTATTCCAGCAGTTCTTAAATTGTGATCTGCAAGCCCTTGGGGATGCTGGGACCATTTCAGGGACCCAAAAGGTCACAGCCATATAAGCTGGGAGATCAGACTCCTTCCTGTGTTGACAAGCACACTGATGCAATGGTAAAAGTCTCAGCAACAATTTTCCTGGTTACTATTGTATGTTTCAGCGCTGCAGGTTTTAAAAAGCCAATTCTGCCTAAGAATGTCCCTGATGCAGTAAAAATAATTGTATTAAGTCTCAACCACCGAGTGCATATTGTGTGATGACACAAAGTATGCATGAAGGATTTCTGGCTGCATACCCACGTACACAGGTTGTCTCTAGGAAAAGCCTTGTCTGGTTGTGTTACAATGTAACTAGCTGTTTTTTTTCTGGAAACACTGTTTTTACTTGAAAGCATGACTAGTTACTAAGACCTGGGTGTTAGGCAGATACGATTTTGTAGAATTTCACCGAGTAGCCAGCCTGTTGCTTCAAGGGGAACAACGGACAGTATTTGTGTCTAATGATAACATTTGAATTTTTTTAAGATTTTATTTTACTTATTTGTCAGAGAGGGAGAGAGCACAAGCAGGGGCAGGGAGCCCGATGCGGGACTCGATCCCAGGACCCTGAGATCATGACCTGAGCCGAAGGCAGATGCTTAACTGACTGAGTCACCCAGGCACCAAAGCATGTGAACTTTCAAGCAAAAATTATAATTTCCAAACTTGTATCCACCACCATGCACTTGACAGTTTCCAGCTCTGAACTTTTATGAGATTGTTAATGACATTAAGGTGATTTTTTTATAATGTTTCAACACTTGGAAGATGTGCAGAACTCAGTTAAACAATATTTTCCAAATAGTTAATGCAGGATGTTACACAATCATGCATGGATTAGAGGCCCATTTGGTGGGCAAGACAAACAGATTTAATAACTGGGTATAAGAACTCCATCGACATAGCCTGATTCAACACTGCAACTAACTGAGAAGAGACTACCAATGTAGTTTTGGTGTTGTATCAAATGCCCACAATTAATTGCAAAGGCTATTAAAATATCCACCCCTTTCTCAATTACTTATCTGTATGAGACCAGATTTTCTTTACATACTTCAACCAAAACATTTATTTAAACCTTCTTTCTCTTTGAAATGTTTTATAGTTTTCAGTGTAGAGTTCTTTTTCAATTTTACTTTTTCAATTCGAATATAGTTAACCTACAGTATTGTGTTAGTTTTGGGTGTACAATACAGTGATCAACAGTTCTATACATTTCTCAGTGCTCATCATGATAAGTGTGCTCTTAATCTCCTTCATCTACCTCAGCGGTCCACCACTCACCTCTCCTCTGGCGACCACCAGTTTGTTCTCTGTATTTAACAGTCTGTTAAATACTGTTTCTAACAGTCTTCCATCCATGTTGTTGCAAGTGGCAAGATTCCATATTTTATGGCTGAGTTATATTTCATCGTATATACATCACCTCTTCTTTATCCATTCATCAGTCAATGGACACGTGGGTTGCTTCCATAGTTTGGCTATTGTAAATAATGCTGCAATAAACATAGCGGTGCATGTATCCTTTTGAATTAGTATTTTCATTTTCTTTGGGTAATTACTAGATCATATGGTAGTTCTTTTTTTAATTGAGGAACCTCCGTAATATTTTCATAGTGGCTGCACCAATTTGCATTCGTACCAACATGTAAGAGGGTTCCCCTCTCTCCACATCCTCACCAACACCTGTTGTTTCTTGTGTTTTTTTATTTTAGCTATTCTGACAGGTGTGAGGTGATACCTCATTGTGGTTTTGATTTGCATTTCCTTGAGTGATGACGATCTTTTCATGTGTCTGTTGGCCAGTTGCCCAGCTGTTATGTTTTCTTTGAAAAATGTTATTCAGGTCCTCTGCCATTTTTGGATTATTTTTGTTTTGTTTTGTTTTGGGTGTTGAGTTATATAAGTTCTTTATATATTTTGGATACTAATCCGTTATCAGTTGCAAATATCTTCTCCCATTCAGCAGGCCGCCTTTTTGTTTTGTGGTAGCCTCCTTCACTGTGCTAAAGCTTTTTATTTTGGTGTAGTCCTAATCGTTTAATTTTGCTTTTGTTTCCCTTGCTTGAGGAGACATACCGAGAAAAACGTTTCTATGGCCATTGTCAAAGAAATTACTGCCTTTGTTTTCTTCTGTGAGTTTTATGTTTTCAGGTCTCACATTTAGGTCTTTAATCCATTTTGAGTTTATTTTTGTGTATGCTCTAAGAAAGTGGTCCAGTTTCATTCTTTTGCATGTAGCTGTCCAGTTTTCCCAACACCGTTTTTAAAAAAAGATTTTATTTATTTGAGAGAGAGCATGAGCAGGGGGAGGGACAGAGGGAGAAGCAGACTCCCCACTGAGCACAGAGCTCGATGTGGGGCTCGATCCCCTGGTTAAGGCAGACTTTTAACCAACTGCACCATCCAGGTGTCCCCTCCCCCCAACACCATTGTTTGAAGAGACTTTTCCCCATTGTATATTCTTGCCTCCTCTGTTGTAGATAACGTAAGCATGGGCTCCACTTCTGGGTTCTCTATACTGGCCCATTGATTTGTGTCTATTTTTGTGCCAGTACCATATTGTTTTGATGACTACAGCTTTGTAGTATACCTTGAAATTTGGGATTGTGATACTTTCAGCTTTGTTCTTTTTTTTCAAGATTGCTTTGGCGACTTGAAGTCTTTTCTGGTTCCATACAAATTTTAGTATTATTTGTTCTAGTTCTGTGAAAAATGCTGTTAGTATTTTGATAGGGACTGCACTAAATCTATAGGTTGTTTTGGGTAGTATGGACATTTTAACAGTATATGTTGTTCTGATCCACATGCATGGGGTATGTTTCCATTTGCTTGTGTCCTCTTCGATTTCTTTCATCACCGTTTGATAGTTTTCAGAGTAAAGAGCTTTCCTCTCCTTGATTAGGTTTATTCCTTGGTACTTTATTATTTTTGGTGTAACTATAAATGGGATTATTTTCATAATTTCTTTTTGCTACTTCAATAGTGTAAAAGAAATGCAACAGATTTCTGCGCATTAATTTTGTATCCTGCAACTTTACTGAATTCATTCATCACTTCTAATAGTTTCTGGTGGAGTCTTTAGGGTTTTCTCTATGTAGTATCATGTCATCTGCAAATAGATTTTCTCAACCAAAATGTTTAAACCTTCTCTCTGAAGTGTTATAGTTTTCAGTGTAGAGGTTTTGAACATCTTTTAAGGTATACTCCTAGGGGGGCGCCTGGGTGGCTCAGTCGGTTAAGCTTCTGCCTTCGGCTCAGGTCATGATCCTGGGGTCCTGGGATCGAGCCCCGCATCGGGCTCCCTGCTCAGCGGGAAGCCTGCTTCTCCCTTTCCCACTCCCCCTACTTGTGTTCCTGCTCTCGCTGTGTCTCTCTCTGTCAAATAAATAAATAAATAAAATCTTAAAAAAAAGGTATACTCCTAGGTATTTTATGGTTTTGGTGTTACTGTCAATATTGACTTTTTAAAGTTTAATTTCCAATTGTTTGCCGTTACTATTTAAGTATACAAGCACCTAAAAGGGTCTTCAGGCCAAAAAAGTTAAGAACCAGTGAACTATTGTAATAGTTTAGGATGCACGTAATTTTGGTGAGATATGCAGAGCAAAATTTCAGCTTATTCTTGGGTCAGTGTTAAAATGATGTCCACATGTTTTTAAAGTACTAGAACTTTTTCTTTTTCAAGCCCTAAGTACAAAAAACTTCCCCAAATATATACAAAGTAGAACAATGAACCTTCACGTACCCAGTGTCAACATCAACTCACACTCAATCTTGTGTGAGCTTTGTTCTGTCCACTCTACCACTCCTGTGTCATTTTGAAGCAAATTCCAGGCATGATAGAACTCTGTAACAATTTCCTTACAATCTCTAAACGGGAACTTCATGTGCTCACGTCAGTGCCTTTGAACAAGACAAGCAAACTGCATCCATCACCATCGTGTGGGACTGTTGCCCTCCTCTAGATTCTATATGGTAGGTTTACCCCGAGAAGCAGTCATAGTCTGTCCAACAATTCCCAAGACTAAACGAATGGTCGATCCTTAGTTCATCTTAAGAGATTCACTTAATGTTTTCCAGCAAATATTAACTCACTATGCAGTCTCTGAAATGCTAGTCCAAGCAGGGGATGGCATGGTTTCACCTATCCCGCAGACTCAGAGCAACTTGGGCGGCTTCTCAGAGCAGCTGTTCAAAAGGGTGGCCGGGGCCATCTGGGCTCAGAGCCCGATTACTGATGCCTGTTGTGGGCATGGGATTAGGTAGCAGTGCTTCTGTTCTCAGCCTCCAGTAATTTCTGTGACACTTCCAAAGCCTAACGCCCCTTCACTTTGGTCTGCTAAGTTTTACAATATTGTGTGTAAAGAAACCAGTGTTTTAAATAACATATATAGGCATGCCAGAAAGATTATTTTGTTGGCATTTACTAACAATAATTTATAGTTTTAAAAGGCTTACATTCATAAATGTCTGCTGGCCCAACGTTTAGTAAATTATGGTTGTTGTCTTTTATGAAAATAAGCATGCAGGGACAATACTATTAGCTCAGAGCAACTGATAACCCCCAAGAGAGCTCCAGGGAGACGAAGCATCCATAAGACTAGAGTATATATACTAACAAAAGTGGCCAGAAATTACATGGGCAGGATCAGAGGAGCAAAGAAAAATCTTACAAGCAAAATAAAAGGCAATACTCCACTTGTCCCTCCCTTCTTGTCCCCTGTGTGGACACCCCCCACTCCTCACACCCTGGAAAGAAAGCACACCCCAGGCACGGATCGAGTGTGAGAGTTTTTTATTCAATTTGTAAAGTACAGTTTAAAAACAAGATGTTAGTAACACTCTTAGAACATTGGCTTGTTCATTTGACATTTTCTCTGTCTTCACCAATTTTTATTACAAAAATCAGAAAAGTAAAAATTCATTACAATATTTGCACAGTGTGACCACTAGCTGCTTAAACAAAAGCTAATTTCTATAAAACCATAAACTTAGTGCAGTTTTATTAAGAGAGATCCAAAATTCTCTCAGTGGACTGGATATACATAGTGGTATATATTTTAAAGCAGAAAACCCCCCAAAACGAAAACAAGGAAAAAAGAAAATATAAGTCAAAATAGTCAGTTAAATATTCTGACCTGACAGTTCCTACAAATAGTAATTTCCACTACATATAAAGGAAACCGTTATCTGTGGTAAAAACTGTAGAGACAAAGCAAGAAATGTGGAATAAAATCACAATGGGTCAGAAGTCAGTCCCAGGCTGCAGGTGTTTTCAGTGAAACCCGGGGCAGGGAGCTACATCGTTGAAGAAGGGGCCACTTCCATCCCCAAATCACCATGTGTGCCTGTAAGCGAGACCCCACCACATGGCAAGTTGCAAAGTTTCAATGAAAAGACTTTGAAAAAGACAAATGTTCTTTTCTTCAAGAAATCTTTGTAAGGCTGTACTTTGCATAGGGAAAGAGCGGTCTTCGGTCATAAATTCTAAAGGAAAGAGGAAAAGCAAGCTTTTCAAAATGACTATGTGCAAGGAGTTGAGTCACCAGGCACCTCATCTACTGCCTCTCATTTATCCTGATCTGATGTAATTTCACTTGACAAGAGGAAAGATGGCATTTTGTGGTGACGGTGTTTAAAGGAAAACATCGAGGCTGGCAGCAGAAAAATTAAATTCTGAAAGAGGCTTGCCACCCCACGGAAGAAACACCTGGGCGCTCAATCAGTCCTACTCGTGCATACAGTAGGACTCACGAGGAACTCTTCAAATAAAAGCTTACTTTTTCAGAAAGCTGAAGTATAAAAAAATAGCACAAGCCGTGGCATTCCCTCCAATGGCTGCTACGTGAGTATTGTGAGCTGGCTACCAGGAGGGACGGGTGCGTCCAGATACCGTCAGGCCGCTGGTCTCTACGAGCCGTGGTAGAGGTGCATGGCCCCCAGGGCAGCCCCACCGTGTCTCTCTCCCCCCTTCGCGGAGTTGGGGTGCTCCGCTGCGCTATTAAGCTCGGGGATGCTTTCAGCGGTGTCCCCAAACCCATGGTAATGCCCATAGTGCAGATTCTCCTCAATGTCCTCCACCCAGGAAGGTCTATTAGCTACGCAGCTACTTGGACTCCCATTCAGGTGCAGAGAGCCGCACATCTCCGCATTAACGCTCATGGTCTTTTCTGGGTCCTCAGTCCCATTAACACAAACAGAGCCCTGGCTACTTGGAAAAGGCCGTCCTCGAACTAATCCATTGCTAATTCCATTAGATCCTGATAAGCACTGGTCATTCCTGCTCTCCATCCCATTGAGCTGTGTCGTGGAAGGGAAGTCCAAATGTCCATTGATGACACATCCATTTGTCAGTGTATCCAACACGGGGCTACTGTTTTTCATATCTGCATTAAGAAATACACCTGTCACCAAAATTCAGAACCACAGGGGGAGGAGAAACTAAAAATGTTTCATTGCTGCTACAATTTTAAAGGATTTATTTAGCTGCTTTTTTTTTTTTTTTCCTTTTAAACAAACCAGTTCCTTTTCTGGAAGTAAAAAACTGTGCATAGGCAGATTTAAAAATAGAACCCACAGCAGCATTTGCCCAGTAAGACAGGAAACATCTATGACTTTCAGCAGCACCGAGTGGCTGAGCGTAAACACCTAAGCTCACAAACACGCGGCATGAAAAATAGCAACAGTCCCGAAAAGCTGTCAAAAAAACCCCAAAATCAAAAAACTGCTCTCCTTTTAAGACTACTTTCAGGAAGAAGTTTCAAAAATCACCCGTGAAAAAGTCCAGCAGAACAAAGAGTGAGGTTTTCCAGAGTTAAAGTAAAACCCCACACCTCTCCAGCTCTTAAGAAAAGGGAGAAAGAAAGGTGGCCACCGAAGCAGGGGCCTGGGGAGACTCCTGGGACCAGGCGAGACAGCCCCAGGAGAGCTCCGGGGGGGTGGGGGGGGGCGGCGGCCCGCCCTCGGGCCAGGCGTAGGGACACAGGAGTTCAAACCTTAGCGACACTCGCATCCACGTGGCACTTCCGCGACTCGGCCTGCGGCAGTGGCCGGCGGGAGAATGGGCACTAAGCGCAACAGCATGAGCTCTGGGAGGGTCTTCCGAGTTCACCAGTAAAGTGACTACGATGTCCGAGGCTTCACCTAATTAGGCTACTTTAAAAAATCACTTAGGTTGGAAAAATGTTGCTTGCTTAATCTGCATATGTAGACATCCATCAAGAAGAGGATGTCTTATGGGGGGAAAAAAGAGTCAATCACAACACGCTCGGGCCCACGGGGAAACTCGGGATTCAACATTCACGTTCACAGGAATTCACAAAACAGTACAAAGGATGATCGCAAATCATGTCTTGCTTGGTAATGTGAAATTTTATCTCAGTGTTCTGCACTGTTAAAGCAAGGTATGATATTAAATACACGAGAGCGGAGTCCCACGACCGTTGGAACGAGGACACGTTTCCGGACCCCCGGTCACCCTGACACAGTGTGGTGTGGCCCTCCCCCGGAAGGGCTTACTTTCCACGTCACCATCTATGTGCCTCTGATTTGCACTTGGACATAGGTTTCTGTGTGTCCCGCAAATCTTCCTGCCAACAAAAAATCACGGCTTGTTCAATGAACAAAAACATCTTCTACACATGCCATTAATCATCCATTTTTCTGGCAATTTAAGTGATAATCATAGTTTAATAACTACTATAAATTCTTCAGAGGATAAGGGATTATTTTTTTCAAATTAAAGGACAGCTCTTCTATTTAGTTAAAACTCAAGGCTAGAGAACAAGTATTTCAAGAACTGAACATGAAGTAGAATAGAAATAAAATAAGCTATTCCCAGAGAAACACTCTTACCAATTTTTTTTAAAAAATAAAGTATACACAGTGTTCCCTGGGTGGTAAAATTCATGACTATGATGGCGACCTTGACAGTTACTAAGATGAATAACTGTGTACTAGTAACAGATACGGAAACGACATTCCCAGAGGCCTGGACCTGAAAAGGTCTGGGAGCACCACCTCAGAAACCAGCGTTGCCTAGACTCACTGTTTTCATTTCGCGTTTTCCGTGTGCATGCGCGTGTGTGCGTGGTTTAGTGCCCGGGGGTGTCAGCGAGTGCCGTTATGCAATCTCAAAGTCAAGGCTAGTTGATAACCTCATGTCGTTATGGAAAATCTAATAAAACTGAGCATGAGAACAGCAGGTATCCTAGAGACTGGCTAATTCGTGACCCCACCTGGCCGCCTCCAACACTGTCCTCACTCCTTGCTCCCACACCCTTCAGGGCCCGTGCTCCCACCCACCACCTGCCCACCTGCTGCACGGGCCCCAGGAGTTTAGCACATTTTGTGCATGCGGGAGGACGTATGTTGTACGTGAAGTGACGGGAAGCATGGCACCCGTTACACAGGATGAGCTGAGCTCGAAATTAAGCAACGCCCCAGCTCGCTATTAAATTTGGCCTGAGAATGCAGGGAATTAATGCTCGAAGATTAAAGAGTGATTCCTTCTGCCTTTTTAAAAGTAGGCAGCAATGTCGTTTGTTTTGAAAAGCTTTGAGTTTTGTTATTTGTCTTTAGCCAAGGTCCTTAAGTATATTATCCAATCAGAATTTTCCTTAGAAAATCAACCCATTTAATTATTTGGCAAGAAGGCGACTCCACCTGTAACAACCCTGTAGCTTCTAGAAAGATGTACACATTTGCCTTTCACTTTAGTAAATAGAAATGATTTTCTCACGTATGTCTGGGAAGCATATCGCATAATCTCTTACCCCAGTGAAGAATTTAGCATAGAGACATAATAAAACCTTAAAAAAACCAGTATCTCTTCCTACATATATTAACACAGTAAGAAAATGGCTAAGACGTTTTCACGGTCACCTGAAGAAAAGAATGGCAGAGAAAAGTGTTAACTCAAAGGAAAAGTCTTCAGAGATTCTAAACGCTGAAAGAACAAACTTTGACTTTTAAAAACTGAAAATGACTATCAACTGTTTGAAGATATTAACACTTTTAACATGTAAAACGTGTTTTGTGAGACGTGGTGCTCAGGGTTTGGCTAGACTTGGAGTCCATGTCCCAGAAACCACAGCGACCAGCAGCAGCGAGCGGGGGGCTCCACGCTGGTGAGACCGGTCACAAGTCAAAAGCACGGCATCCACCCGTCCTCCGTGTCCACAGCAAGTCATCCTTCTCGCTGTGCCCCAGGCCGAAACTACTAGCAACAGATGTTTGCTTGGTGTAGTCACCCAAAGGTCACATGTCAGAAAAGCAAGCATGCGAAACCTCGTTGAAATTAAACAAGGCACGTTAAGCGGAAGCTTCAAACCAAAATAGAAGATTGCACTTCAACTTTTCGTATCTATAGAATGCCCCCAAAACACTTATCCTTGTATCTACAAACTTGCCCAAGATACGCAAACTCTAGTGTAACATTCTTTAAAACGCCGGACAACAAAGTGCAAACATCGGGAGAGAAACTCAGGTTAGAAATAATATGCATACTGGTTCTTGCAACGACAAGGGGTCTGCATTGCTGAAACAGTGTATATTTCTATTTCTTTTGGTCCGACAGAACCACCCTCCTGCTGTTTGATGTCTTCGACCAGGGGGCCGCTGCAGCTAACGGGGAACTGTCCACTCCCACCTGTTACAGCAGCAAGCTCTCTATCGACCAGCATCGTGTCAGCTTCGTCATCCGCGTCGCCGTTCCCCAGCGGCCTGCAGGGACCCGAGCTCCGGGCTGCACAGAACACAAAGGCAATTTCAGATCCCTGCATCCACAAGCTTTTAAGACAACTACCTCTCACTCCTTTTTCCTCAAGAGTACTGAGGGCTCCAAAAGTGTCAAAACAACTTGATCTACAGATTACCAAAGAGCCTAGTACACTACCGGGAAACTTGCTTTTCCACAGTATAAAAATACTTCCCGATGTGTGCCGTTTCAATGAAAAGTCACAGGATTTCAGACACTTACTCTATATGTACTCGATGGCACAAATTCTCCTTTATGGCTGTTACGTGGACAAAATAAAGCAGTTATACAACCCAGAGATGTTTTTAAATACGTTAAGTTCAGTGTACTCTGTATTATGCCCTCAAATGTTCCTTCAGTTGTTTTTGATAAAGAAATACGAAGACAATTTTTGAGTAACATAAAAACCATTAAAACTATCCTCAAATTAAAAAAAAAAATCACTAATTTCAGAAGCAGAAAATAAGGTAAAAGCCAAGATTCAATACTGTCCTGGGGGCACAGGCCCGTGCACCAAGATATGATAACACTGGAAACAAACATTAAAGTCTTAGTTCCAGGATCTCTGGAGCTGAAGTTATATATGCACATTCCTCAAAAAAGGATCATTCTCTGGATCTTGGAGAAAAACAAACATGCACATTTAATCACGTTTCCTGCAAGAATCACGCTCACCGTATGGAAACACTCCTCCGGTGCACCTTCCCTGGGAACCCCCGCCTTCTCCCAGCAGCCACTCACTCAACACATGGCTTTCTAGTCTCAGCAAGCATATGCTATTACAGAAACGGACCCCCAAATCACTTTTATGCCTTGCTTTTCATTTACCATGGCATGAATGCAGCTCATCAGCGAAGTTCAAAAGAACCTTTTTAAAGTCAAATAATACTCCGCTGTAGGGCTGCATTATAACTCACCCCCCTGCCCCAACTCCCCGCCGTTGGCTGGCTGGCTTTCCTATCACGAATACCACAATCAACATCCTTATCAACACACCTTTGTGTGTATTTCTGGTTCTTTACTCAGATAAACACTGAGAATTAATTCTGGGTCGAAGGATATATACAATGAACAACAACTTTCGGTGCTAAATCTTTCCAATAAACATTTAAAAACAGACATGAACCCTGCAGCTTTAATTACTTCTAATTTTGGAGGCACGAATCATTTTTGATACATGTAAAAGGAACGAGCGTACCAGTTCCAGACCATCACTAAGCCTAACCCACACTGTTGAGACCAAAGATAATCATGTATGGTCTTCATGACAGAGAGGCAAAAGTTCTGAATGACTAGTACGTGGGAGAGACAGAAACAGAACAGTGTGATTTGTGTAGCTGGTCTGCACAGGTATGAGGCCAAAAGCACTCAACAAGACAGAGGCACTAAGCCATGGATTTCCGTCTCTCCCGCTCGAGGCTTTTCTTATTCCTCCACAGGCCCCACATCAGCGACAGGCAAGGTGCGACCTTCCCCGTGAAACAGGTACTTTCAGCAAGTCCATGGCAAACAGGCTGCCGTAACGAGGGGGGTGGGGGGTGGGGCACCCAGGTGCCCGCTGAGCAAGTGCTCAGGACCTTCGGGGAGACCTCAGCCAGTCATTTCGGAGACGAGGAGCCTGCAGTCGGCGTGGGGTCAGGTTCTGCTCCTTCCCGTGCCCGGCAAGCCAGGCGGGGAATCAGGTGGTTGGCAGGGATGGGCGCTCGCTAGCATGGCAAAGCCAAGACGCCTCTGCGAACAGGGGGACTCCGCTGGGATACGACACAACTTTCGGTGTCTGTACTCCTAAGATCTGCTTTCCGGGATTCAGGGGCCATTGTTCCTCGGGAAGGTGACAACTAGGCTAAATGTGCAATTTCACATCTCTGAAAAGCAACGGTTATAAAAAAAACCTGACAGAGGACAGATCAAAAAGTGCTTCCTGAGAGCAGAGCTACATGTCTTCTCGTCCCCTAAGCCCAGGGCCCAGAAGAGTGGCCGTATCCGTGAATGAAGCCCACTCTCGTCTGAAAAGGCACAAACACAGAAAGCAAACAAGAACGATTAGTAACTGGAACGACCAGTAGTAAAATCGGGATCATGGCCTCCAGAGAAGGCTGGCTACAAAGTGCCGTGGGACTGGGCAGACCTGCCACCAGGAGGCAGAGGAGTCTGGGGACATCCCAGGTCACACTAAGAGGAGAAGCCGGGGCACAAGGCCACTTCACCGCGTCAATGTCTCCCTTAACGAGACCCACGCAGCGCACTAGGGGGCTACCGAGTCTGAAACCTTTCCAAGTCGCAGGTGCACCATTAATGCTGACGCTTCCTCATTTACAGAACAGGATGAAAATTAAACAGACCAAAGGCTCTCTTATTTTAGTCGTCAAGAAACTCTTTAATGTGGGGAGCATAAGCTAAAGCCGTCAGCCCAGAATTTTCTTTCTCTACAGATAGGCAGTCTTTGTAATGCACTGTTGCCCTAAAATATCTGCAAGGACCTTTAACTCATCGGCTGATAACCCAGCTGTCCCAGAACCTTGGGTAATTCGAGCACCTGTAAACAGGAAGCACTTAATTACCCAGATGGAGGTATTAAAGGTGCAATTTACTTTTTAAAACTGTATTTTATGAACCATGAGATTAACATTGGCCTTTCAGAATTGTAAGAACATTGGATCCAAGTTGACTCCTTTCTCCCACATACCCATCCATCTTTGCCAAAGGAAGCACTGGAAATATTCCACACTGCGTTGGAGGAAGGCAGTCTTATAGACAGAAAACGAAAGGTCTTCTTTCCAAGTTATCGATTCTGATTCATTTTACACTTTGGAGAAGGACCTTCCTTTCCCATCTTCCTGATGACTTCCATAGTTAAAAGGAACAATCACTAAACATTTTGTAAAAAAATGTCCTTACCTTTTACTTGGCCAAAGTAGGCATTTGTTGAGGAGACAAGATTCTAGCACTTGTTAGAGGCTGAATATTTATGATAGAAAACTGCCTAGGACTGGCTCAAAATAAACCCTCCCAGCTTCCTTCCTGCAGAGGCAACTTTGCAACCAAGTGTGACTGACCACCACCCAAACACAGAAATCTGCATTTGTACTTCCATTGGAGATCCCTAAAACCAGTTCTTAGCAAGATTCTAAAGCTACATATTTATTTTATGACCAAGCAGTTTGAAAACCTGGGGAGGGCATTACTCGGCTCTTGGAAGCCGGGGAGCATCTGACCCATCACAGGAGGGCGCTGTCAGGAAGCTTATTTCTGTGCTGGCTCGGTCCGGCCGGGAAGGTGCACAAGCAGAACAAAAACAAGTTATTTTTTACTTTTTTAAAGTGAACTCTATTGCCCAACGTGGGGCTTGAACTCATGACCCTGAGATCAAGAGTCAGAGGCTCCGACTGAGCCAGCCAGCCAGCCAGGCGCCCCTAGAGATCCCCACCCCGCCAAAGGACCTGGGCCAGAATGAAGGCGGTTCTACTTACAGCGGACCTTTCAGACTCTAGCTCCCGCCACGGCCCCAAGGGCAGCACCAAGTTCTGGAAACTCTACGGAGGGCCTGGGCCTTGTGAAAAGGACGCGGAAGGGAAGGTGCCCGGGACGGCTGACTCCCACCACAGCCACTAGATGGCTGAGGAGACGAGGCTCGAGGCAACAGTGTGAATCACAGAGAGCACTTGGCTCTCAAGTGTCACTCACTCAGATCACGGTTACATGATGCCAAGTCTTCAGGGATTAAGACAAAATGATCATTTGTTACTCCAACGCAGTGTTCTCTTGCTCTGGCCAAATATTTAAAAACAAGCCATCACTGACTGCGTCGTGTGCGCATCTCTAACGTATGGGATCAAACTAAAAGGAACTACAATTTTAACTGGGGAGGCAAGGGATTTCCTGAGTCTCAGGCTCTAATTACTCAGATGTATCACTTCACGGAAATCACATCCACTCTCCCTTCCCCCCAGTCTTCACATGTGGTCAAGACGAGTAAGGAAGACCAGAAAGTGGAGATTCTTTAATGTGAAGTTCATCCAGGGGAAAAGCGTGCTGAGAAACTTCTCACTGCTAATTTTAAAAGGAGTCATAATGCCGTAGTTTTCCTAAAAGGTGTTTTTATGAATTAAATACCTATACGTTATGTATGAAATTCTCAGATCAATAATATACCCATTTGAATTAAAAACAAAACCGCGAAGTCGATTTAACAAGAGATCTGGTATCAACAGCCTCCTTCCTTTGGCAACTGTTTGCAATTACCAAACCCTAGGCTACTGGCTGAGTCTGTAACTCACACTGCTTCTCCCCACTCTAGACTCGGGATCTGCACCCCAAACAATTATTGATTAAAACAAGAGCAAAGTCTCTCTCACGGATGGGACGGGCATTCTTTCCTAACCAGTCTCCCTGGTAACCTGGACGGGTTTCCAAGGAACACACACACACACACACACACAAACTACTGTTATTCCTGAGGGTTAACAGAACACGAACAGAACCGTTACAGAGCAGCTGTTACTGAAAGACATCTGTCATCCACCTCGAGCCAACGGTTGATAAAAACTGGGGGAAAACACCTCAAAACCCACTTATATACTGGTGCTTCCTTGTGCTACCCCAAATGAAAAAACCCCGTTTTATGCCAAAATACTTTTAATCAAAATCAACCACTGAAGTGACTTTGGACTCAACACTCTAGTTCACGGCCCCATGAACTACGTCTGCGCTCTGACCAGAGCGGACGGGATCCTGGTGTGAATGGTGGGGCGAGGGTGTTTTGAGAAGGACTATATCCAAAGCACAGCGTACGGTCAAGCAGTAGGGAAAGGATGAGGTGTTATTAATCCTTCAAGTTCTTTTCCATCCGAGTTTCCAAGGGAAAATCACACCAGTTAAAATATCTGAAAACAGTTTATTGAGAGTGGAGACAGAGGCTACTTTCTGTGGAGAAGAATAGGGAATTTTCAGTCTCAGGATTCCAAAGTAAAAAAAAAGGAAAAAAGTTAAAAAATTTCACAAGGCACACTTTAAAAAAGTTGGCTTAGCCAGGAAAACTTTTTGAAATAACTGCTTTTATGAACATAAATTCCACACTAAAAACACGGGTGTGTGTGATTCTTAAGTTGTAGAAAGACTGGACTGAGTTTCGTTAATAAGGTCCATGCTACGCACTCATCAGCCCGGGTAGCATTCCTGGCGCCTAAAAAAAAAAAAAAAGGCCTAACTTGTACTGGGGGAAGAAAGAAGGGAGACAATTTAAACTCTTTTAAATACGTTTACATGTGAAGTTATTCAAAAGTACTTTATATGCATATATTATATAAGGAAAAAAATACTTATTTTTACTCTAGTGTGAGAACCAAAAACTTATCCACAAAATGAATAATTCAGAACGAGCAAAACTTTAAGCTCCATTTAAATAGCAAATCAAAACGAGATGCCAGAGATTAAGTGAAAACGAACTACAGCAACCTATCCTGAATTGCACACTAGAACCCCATCCTAGAGGGGCAGTAACTGTGCAAACACAACTTCCTTCAGAAAACCCAGGTAACTGGGGAAAAATCATTAGACTTAGGCCCCAAGCCCCACTCACAGCGAGCACGTAACGATAAAATGAAAGCGATCACCTCCGCTTTCCCCCCGAGAAGAGCGGCACGGATGACGGCACTTGTCCGTGCTCACAGACACGCACGGACACACACACACGCGCTCAGTGACATGCGGGACCAGCACTGCCTGGGGGATGGGAGTGAGGACGGTCTGGCTCAGCGCATCCGGTGTCGAGGCCAGATTTCTCCCCTGGTGGTGACAGAACGGGACCAGGGCAGGTGTGTGGAGCAGAGCCCAGGCTTGGGGCTGCACGACTCAAACACCAGGCTCCAGCTGCATCTTCTTCTGACCTGGTGCCTGGGGTTAAGCAGCGGGAACAGGCAGTTCGGGAAAGCTGCTTGGGGAGTTTCATGGGCAAAACGTGAATCTCTCACCCTGGTCAACCCAAGTGAATCCTTGTCTGGAGGAGGGAAATAAAATCCCCTCAACATCTATCCACCCGCACCATTCTTCAAACCCAGTCTGTGTAGTAACAGGGTTTAGGAAACTTAAATTCAAGTCTGAGGAATCCTCGGGAAGTCTTTTCAGGATGCTTCAACAATGAGATACTGGCCGATCCAACAGGCCTGAACACCTTAGGAGACTGGTTTGAAAACCTCTTTGGTAAATGTCTGAGTCTTCTTAGAATGTTCAGTGACATCCTTCTTACCCTACTAGATAGAATTTAAGATTTATGCTATAAACCAACACACGCGGACATGGACACATACAGGACTCTTGCCTGAGGGCATAATGAAGCTAACACTTCACATCATTCCAAAATATTAAACCAGGCATTAAGCGGACAAAAAAGACTATTTTTAAAAAGTGGATGCTCTTAAAGGGCTTTTAAAATACGTTAGAAAAAATATACTGGAACATGGTACAAATAAATGACAACACTGAACAATAATACGTCACCATTAAAAACACCACTTGTGAGGTTTAGACACAACTTCATGTTGTTTGTGCTTATGATCATTCTAGCACCCTCAGAGAATTAGGTAATTTATAAAAGTTACGAGTTTGGCAAACCATTACATTAAGTTCATACATTCATTTCCCCAAAAAAAGTCACAAGTTTATAGTCACTAAGTATTCAAAAGTAGGTAATACAATTTTATCAACTTTCTAGTGAAAAAAAGAGCCCATTTTCATCTGGATGCCATCCAGTTAAACTGAAAAGGTGCAGCATTGGAGAGAGGATAATGTTGACCCACATGAAGTGTAGTTAGCTAAAACCTCCAGCCACTCAGGTTTTTCTCATACTTTACTTGTATAGCCTTTTTTTTTTTAATCGAAGGGCACAACTTTGTATTTATGCTCAGCTATCTCATCTGAGTTCATAATTTCAACGTGATTACTCTTCACCGCCATCTCTAAGTGTCCCTCTCCGTTTAAGTTCGTTAAATACTCTTGCCCAGCTATCAATCTGTCTTTAAGATATCTTACAGACAGGAATATACATATAGTTTTTTTTCCTAGATAAAGGGGAGGTGTTTTCATCTGACAGTGACTAGGTGACTCCGCTTCTTTGCAAACTCCGAAGTTGTCTGAAGATAGAGAGGTGGGAGAATACTTATAGCTAACTTACCTTTCAGACGTAGCCTCACGTCGCCCTGACACCCCAGGTCTCGCTGGGACACAGCACCACACTGCCGGTGCGGAGACCAGCCGAGGCAAACCTCTCCCTGCCCAGATGGGAAACTGTGTTTGGCTACCAGACCAGCAATAATGTCATTCATAAGCTCGGGAACATTCACAGGAAACAAACAAAAAAATCAGGCACGGTGGCAGAGTTTTTTTAATAGTTATATTTCAAACAGGTACAGGAAACGAGAAAAATCTTTCTAATGCGTGGCAGAAAACCCTGGGTGTGCAGAAAGTTATATACACGTTTCCATCTGAGCTGTCAACACAGCCCTCTTATCTGCTCCCCTTTTGTTAAAGGGCCAATCTTCCAAGGGGCCACACGGGGAAAGCACCACCACCACCGCACCGGGCTCCTCCGGGCACAGGACCCTCAAGCGAAGGTCTCATCTCGAAGGTGCCTCCAGCCGTAAGAAAGAGCACACGTTACAGAAAAGAGGAGAGTCTGCCCCCTCCCGTCCACCAAGGGGTCTCACCTTCGGTCCTAGCCTTCTTTACTCCAAAGGGCTCCGGATCTTCCAAGCATCTCTTGCGACTGGTTCCCGCGCTAGTATGATTAAGGAATCGGCTCTGATGGCCCCCATTTACCGGGCCGTTATCATAGAAACGGCTCAGGTGACAATTCTGCAGGTTCAAGAGAAACTGGGTGCACTCTTGGAAACCCTGGGTTTGAGCAATGTCTGCTGCTGTCAGGCCACTGGCATTTCTCAGGCTGTGTGACACAAAAACACTGAATTACACCCCGCCGCGCGCTCACCTGCTCTCTGCTCCTGCTGACCTGACTGACTATCTCAAGGGGGCGGCAAGAGAATACAGATGTACGGCGAGTCTCCCTTACGGGGGAGCTCTCGTCCTGCTGCGTAACTAACTTCGTTCTTGCGCACATCTGATTACTAAGCAAGATTCGGGAGATAGGCATTTAAAAATCAACACACTAAAATTTAAAAAAGGCATCTTCCTACTGAACTTCTCAAAATCATTTTTTACGTCAGTCTGAAGAACCTAAATTTATGCTAACTTCAGACTTAACCTGAAACTGAATTCTATATTATCTGCATAATTGTAATAATCCATTCCTTTAGCTTGAGTAAAATCATAACAAACAAACATGTACTGAAATTGTCCACGGCATTTGTAACGATCGGCTTCCTCAAAAGAGCGCCCCGACAAGCCAGATTTGATGCTAGCACGTGACACTGTAAGTGGAGGTCTAGAAGGATGTCCTGACATCAGAGGAACTTACGGTCGGGGGAGATCTGAGAAGCCAAGTTTGTGTGTGTGTTTGACGGGGCTTTCTGGCCTGCTTAGGAAAGCCTGCAGCGTAGGACACTGCATTCGAGAGCACCTGCATGGGGGTTTCCTGGGAGCCCATCCCCGGGGCAGAGGGAGTTCTATCACCCTAAGAGTCCACACCACAGCAGCTCGCGTGGCCGGCCACGCCAACAGAGGAAGGTCGGGGTCGCCTACAGCAGCCAAGACACAGACTAAGTAGGAGGTACCGGCAGAATGTGACGTGAACCATCTCAATCACACGGATACGAAAGAACCACCTGTAAACCTCCACTAGGAAATAATAAATACTCAAGGAACAAAAGCAACTCCCTGAAGTTCCCCTGAAAGACAAGAAAAATATCCTGCCCCGTGAAGTCAAGCTGCAAACCAGTGAAACAGACAGGCTGATGACTAAGAACGTGAGCACCAGACGGGGACCGGCTCTCGTGCCTGCTCTGCCGAGCGAGACCACTGGCCATGCAGGGCCACTGAATAATAACCAACGCAGAACGCGTGATGCTTGCTTCCAGGGCTAATGTTAACGCAAAAATCCACTTCAGAGTAACAACGAAACATCCGGGACAGACGGGGGTTCCTCTGTAAAGAGAACAGTAAGCCTTTCCAGCCCTCATACTCCTAAAGCTCCAACCTCAGAAATGAAAAACCTGTATATTTCTAGACAATCACTAAACATGTCTCCACTCTTTAAAGCCTAAGATAAAGAAATGCATCCTATGTTTCGAAGAAAGGTGAAAGCCCACACTCAGTTTGGTCAGATACAAAACAGACAAAACTTGAGAATCCCAGAAACCAACAAGTTTCTTAAGAATGTAAGGCAGCTGTGTGCAGAACTAATGGGGACTCAACCTGCCATTTCGATTTCATGGCTATGAATTCTGATGAGTGTTCTTCTACAGTTGGGTATGAATTAAATGGAAAGGAAACGCCGTTTGGGCAGCGTGAACTACCTTAATTACATGTACATAAAATGATCATATATTTAGTTTCTGAAATCTACTATTGATACGACAACAGTAAACTAAGTGTTTAGCTGGGTGAGTTTTTTAATTTTCAGGGACTGCCCCAAGTGCCGTCATCCAGAAAGGTCTACTCTATCAAGAATGTGAACAGAGGGGGTGCCTGGGTGGCTCAGTCGTTGGGCGTCTGCCTTCAGCTCAGGTCATGATCCCAGGGTCCTGGGATCGAGCCCCGCGTCGGGCTCCCTGCTCGGCCAGAAGCCTGCTTCTCCCTCTCCCACTCCCCCTGCTTGTGTTCCCTCTCTCGCTGTGTCTCTCTCTGTCAAATAAATTAAAAAAAAAAATCTTAAAAAAAAATGTGAACAGAGTAATAGGTAGCCACATGAAAATAAAACACATCTAATTCTTCAAAATTTGGAAAAATGAAGACCTAGCATATGCAAAGTTTATAAAATGATCACTTCTATACAGAAATATGGAGCTGCTCTCCAAAATCAGAGAACACAGAACTAAGCTGACGGTAAAGAGGACTCTTTAGATCAGAGAATGATGAAGAACAGCACACGCGTTTTTAGATGGCATTCACCATCATAAACTTCACTGAGGAGAACAGAGAAGCTTAGGGAGCAGCCAACATTCTCAAGTCACGAAAGAGAGGAATTTCCGAAATATACTCAGTGCCTTCACTTTCCATTCAGAAACAGAACATCAGACTAGACTTAGGGTAGAATAGCAAGTTTACTGTTTTCCCAAGGAAATACAGCGTTAGAGAAAAATAAGCAACAAACTGGGGCCGACATCCGGAGATTCTGGAGACGGCCAGCGCTTGAGTGGGGGTGCGTGCTGAGACCTGAGACCAGAAGGCAAGGTCTCCCCACAACAACGCAGTCGAACACTTGCACCTCATGAGGTATTATCTTCAAAACTAAACAGAAGGACTGTGGCCAACTCATGCTCCCCACGTGTGGACCAAACAGGGAAGAAGGATCAGTCACAGCTCAGACTGAACGGATGCTGGTTCCACACATACCTTTGCAAGACAAGAAGTCAGAGGGATCCAAAAGGGAGATCAAAACATTCTAGAAGATGTAGGGGCAAAATCTGGGACATAAGATGACTGTGGAAGAATTAATTGGGAGCTAATAATTTTGGCACTGTCCCTACAGGATTATCAGAAATGGGGACACATGCTATCTTCGCTCTGCTCCCAGTAAGCTACAGATTTCAACGTGAGCAGACCCTTGAACAAGGAGGGGCTGGGGATACCAACCCTTGTGCAGTCGTAAGCCCACATGTAACTTCTGACTCCCCAAAACTTTACCACTGAGAGCCTACTGTTGTCCAGAAGAAGCTTTACCGATAAGACAGAGTTGATTAACGTGTATTTTGTACGTTATATGTATTATATACTGTATTCTTACCATAAAGTAAGCCAGAGGAAAAAGTGTTATTAAGGAAATCATAAGGAAAATACATTTAGAGTATGTACGTATTTATAAAAAAAAAAAACAAAACCCCACGTATGAATGGACATGCACAGTTTAGGCCCCCATTGTTCAAGGGTCAACTGTATATTCCTTCTCTTGTCACTAAGCACTGAATGTACACAACATACAGTTTGTACTCCTCTCGAGCCAAAGGACCTCTGAATACCTGATTCACTCACACACCAACAGGAACCCCACTCACGTACCTTCACCCCTCCATCGTCTACCCTGACAAACATCCGACTCCCTAACTCTGCTCTGCTTACACCGAAACACGGCCAAGTGGCTGGCTGCCCCACTGCAGAGCGCACGGACAGGACAGCTGGGGCGCACTGATCCCAGAGCCAGCGCTTTCTCTACAGAGGCCTAGATGCTATGGACTGCAGGCTCTCAGGCCACACTCCCGCTCACGACTCAGGTCCGTCCTCTCGGCCTGAAAGCGGCTGCAGATGACATGTAAACCATACAGCATGGTGAGCTTCTAGTGAAATTTCACTCATGGACATTAAAATGAGAATTTCATGTAATTTTAACTTGTCATAAAATAATCATTCTTCTTTTGATTTTTGTTCAACCATTTAAAAGCGTACAAATCATTCTTAGGTTATGGGCCGTACAAAAACCAGCAGCAGACTAGATCTGCAGAGTCACATGTAACCAGCAGATGATACTGCTAACTAGTCCTCTAGTTTTGTAAAACTATCTGTCCATGGGTTCCTCAAAGCTGGCTTTCCAGAAATTTTATGTACTACTCAATTCAAACAAATGACTTTTAAAAAGTTGCCAAGTCGGTTAAACTGCAGAATGTTAAGTACCAAGAAAAATATCTAGAGGGAAACTACAAGCCCCAAGAGCACGTGGAAAGAAACAAGACGGTCATCCCTATTCCACTTGGGTGTTTTCTGTTAAAAGTTCTGGTGTCCTACAATCAGGCAATGTGCTTACAACGAGGGAGGTGAAAATGGCCTTTACAAGTCTAAATCCCTCAAGCCACTTTTTCACTTTCACAGAGTCCCCTCTGTTCAATAAGCAGAGGGGACTTTCAAACGTGCTACAGAGGCTGAAAATCACCTGGGTTTCCACGTCAAGGACTAGAATAAAGGATCACTAAATGGAATTGTTCTTGAAACCTGAACCTTTAACAAAAGAGGCTCAGGTCTTTCAATCAATCCTTTTTCTGACTCATTTGAGCATGTTTCAATTTTGATGCTGTAAGAGCTGAAACAGTGATCCTGGTGAAAACGCACCATCAGTTTATCTTTAACTTTTGTATTCCAAGTTGAAATAGAAACTAAAGCTAAGCTCCCTCCCTTAGCTTCCTGACAGTCAGGCGCTGTGATTGTGAACTGGAAGGGGGCAGGACGGCTCCCCATCCCTGTGCCGCACTGGGTCTGGAATAGTACTTTTTACTTTATTTATTTTAGAGAGAGGAAGACAGAGAGTGTGTGTGAGCAGGGGGAGGGGCAGGAGAGACAGAATCCCAAGCAGACGCCCCCCCCGCCCCCCCCCGGCCGAGTGTGGAGCCCTTGTGGGGCTCGGAGCTCGATCTCATGGCCTGAGCCACAGTACTTTTTAAAGAGCCGAGCCTTCACCCTTCAGTCCGCAGACGCTCGCTTAGGGCGTGCGGGGCGTGGTGGCACCATGCTCATCGCTGAGCTCAGGTACGAGGCTGGGACAAACGTCAGTCTCAACTGCAGTCTACACACACTAGTCCAAAGGGAAAGTTCTAAAGCATCTAGAAGAAATTACTCAAAAATACTCTCAAAACCTGTATTTTACATGAAAACTGGGGTAGTAATGGCAGCATACACATTATTTTTAGCCAAATCTTTTAAAAAAATGTATACTCTTGAATTTAGCATCTTCAGTGTGATGCACCTGGGTGAACGCAGACTATGTGTGAAATTCACCTCTGTCCATTTCGGAAGACGAGAACCTCGTGGATGCGCTGTGAGGTCGTTTCTAAAAGCTCTCCATTCACCCGCTCTGATATCCAGCTGAAAAATCTTTGAAACTGGGCAGAGATTTTAAAAATTAGACAACCATCAACTTGGTGTTCAAACTGGGTCTAGTTTGTTGAACTTTCAAAGTCAACTGTCTTAAAAAAAAAAAAACAGAGCTGACATGATCAGATTTGGGGGGGCGGGTTACTCTGCCGCCAGCAGAGGAACCTGCGGGTTCTAGCGCCTGGGACCCCGAGACTGTGAGAGGGACCTCGGAGCAGGCCGCCCATGTCGTCTCGGGGGCCTAGGATGCTGTCCAAAGTGCAATATGGAAAAACGGAAGACCGCGATTAACCGTCACGGGATTATTTCTCCCGCTGAATGACTGGCAAAGAAACTGTTATTTTTTTAAGCTTTACTGAAGCTAATGTGTGAACACTGGGATACGGTGTTTTCTGCAGTGAAGTTCCGGACAGAATATTAGTGTCTTGTACCAAGGGACCCCTCCCCAAAGCACTTGTGTGGCCAGCTAGTTCTCTATTTTCCACTTACAGTGTCACGCCCCTGGAATAGACGAGAAGCCGTTCTAGTAGGAACAGTTTTTTCTTTAATTTGAAAAACCACGGATCAGGAAATCACTGAAATATAATGTTTAGTATCTGAGTTGTCACATCTCCTTCAGGATGCTCTCTTTTTGTTAATGCCATGTGACAATAAAAAGATCACCACAATTTTTATATAAATAATATTTCTGTTAAAATTCTGATCTCAACTTAACTATTGTTAGTTACAAATAAAAGGTAGATATCATAAATTAGGGTAAGCAAAGCATGCAAATCTAAAGAATCTATATCTGAATTCCTAGATTAGCATTAAAACCAATCACCGCAACAAATACCTCAACAGTATGCCTCGTGTGGAGAAAGGAAGCCATACTGAGCATTCAATGCCACAACCGTAAGGTTCGGAGAGGCACCTGTGGCAGTTCTCAGCGGTTTCTATATGGAATGCTCCCCCTTTCTAGGATTACTTGAAAAAATCAAGTCAATTCGAATTACGTAGCTGTAAGACATTGACACGTGTAGGTTTTACAGATTCAGAATCTTCTCTGTGACTTAAAACGGGCAATGGTTCATGACACAGGACACTGAAATAATAAGGGATCACATATTCGCAGGCAACATCTGCATTAAAAATACACAGACACACATGGGCGCAGAGGCACGGTTAGTGAGCGCGAGCCGCCGTCACGTGACCGCCTGGACCGGGGGCCGGCTCCACAACGCTGCCTTCCAACCTCCTGCAGCCACTTTCAGCATGAAGCCAATTTAAATATGTCAATACTTCAACAAAAGTTTAACAGTATGGACTAAAAACCATTCACTCACGATTCTGGTTACTTTAAAATTTGGTATGCTGTATCTCAAATACATTAGTAACTATTCCTAGATGGAAATAAGCAAATACATGGAATCGTTAAAAAAAAAAAAAGATTAAAAAAAAACATCACTAAATGTCCATTTGTACAGACAACATTAGCAAACATCTAAGATTTCTTCAGTAAAAGAAAAACACGTGTATTTTTAACCCTTTGGTATCCAAACTCTTAAGTTATGAAGACTTTCTTAAATACAGTCTTCAGATAACAAGAGGAAGAAACTATTTTGTAAAGTATTTACCTGAATAAATTTGGTGCCAAGTTTTCATTTCAAGGTCAACATCACTGAGGGTAGTTTTACATTGCAACCGAACCCCAACCATGTTTGCATACGTTAAACAGAAGAGTGTCATTCAGAGGCTGATAAAAGGCTTCATGTGCTCCCACTATAATTTAGCAGAGGAAAAAGATATTTGGATTTGGAAATCATTGGCTATTTGAAAGCACTATGTAGAAAAGCGGTGATTAAGCAATTATCCAAGTCTATGCTATTCAAGGTGTTACGAAACTAATCAAAACTCTAAACTAAGTGTGTCCACAGCTTTAGGGGGCTGGCTGTCCACCTCTGCTCCTGTCGGCAGGCAGAAAGAGCTTCAGCGCTACGTCGGGAAGTATCTCGTCCACCAGGCCAGCAGCTCTCCCATACAACGGAAAAAGAGCCAGCCACCAGCAAGATCGGACAAGCGTGCCGGAGTGACACTGAGGTACGTATGGGCGGCGAGACTAGGTGGGAACGCAGAGGGTCCAAAATCAGAAACTAATTCAGAGTTACAATTCTAACAAATTTCACAGACTTTTATTCTTAGGGGCAAATATATGAACCAATGAAAAGAAACCACAAATTTCAAACATGAATGAATGAATGGTTATCAGAGTAAGTGTGGGCTAGATTTTGCCTCGGGCAGGAGCTGCGAACAAACTCCCAACAGCAATATGACATATCCTCGTGGCACGTAGGTGCCCTAAAGGGAATTCTGCTTCCAGAGAGGGCTCTCTGGGTAAGCGCACAAGGCTGGGTCATAAATGTGACCACCAATGAGGAACCAAACTAAACCAACTCAATTTCAATTAAGAATGTCTCAAAGTTCAGTAGTGTGGATGCTTTTGCAAAATTAAAACAAAGTCTATTAAGGGGCGCCTGGGTGGCTCAGTCGTTGGGCGTCTGCCTT